GGGTTTGCATCTAGCAGAAGTGCTTGATCAATTTGTCACTGTGTCTAGGGTTTGCATCAATGAGTCGTTTGAGGTCTTCTTCTTTCCATTATTTGTGTTGTCCATGTGTAAATGGGTTATTGTATCATGTTTCCATTTTACCTTTACATCTAATTTTTCATTATCTTTAATTAATCTAATTTTGAATCATGTTTTTATGTTCAATTTCTTCGTAAAAGGCAATGGCTCCAGAGTCTTATATTCGTGTTAATTATGAATCATTTCTTGAAGCCAACAACTTCAATGATACGAGGACGTAGGGTCACGAGAAAACGATGGAGACAATAAGATGGATGGCCATCTTCGACGATTGTGAAATTTGGCAAAAATAATTTTTTTTTGGTGATAGACGGAAGAATGATAGAAGAAATGAGTAATAGAAAGACAATGATAAAAGTGGGTCTATGAAAACGTGACAATGACATAATATTAAAGATTGTGCTAAAATAGTAATTTATTTGAAAATAAATCAACAAAGTCATTTGAGACTTTCGTATGAGTCAAATGACTCCTACATTTTTTTGTCAGCAAATTAGCCATTTGGTATTAGATATCTCAAGCAAGCGAGACTAAGCTATCAGGGCTAGGGAGACAGACGACTAGACTTCGAAGCTCAGATTACAAACTCATCAAGTGGCTTCATTTACTCTAAACTCTAAACCTTGACATCTCTCAAATAGTTGATGCTTAAAAGATGAATGGGAGGGGTTATGGTGATTATTATGGATTAGTAATCATCGCGATTAGTAAGGACAAATTGGGTATGAGAATAAATATTTATTAATTTCCCTTTTTAATAAAATATATTTAAGAAAATTACATAAAAATATTAATTACAATTTTCTCTCTCTTTCTCTCACTTCCACAATCTTCAGCCAGATCTTTCTTTCTTCTTTTTCTCAATCTTTTTCTTGATTTCGTTCTGCCGAAATAATTCCACTGCAACAACAAAACAATAAATCAATACCAATCAACTAAAAAATACTACCATTGCACAAAACACAAATACCAATCGAGAAATAAAAATACTAACATTTCACAAAACACCAATACCATTGCAGATTAATCAATACCAATACATGCAAATCAATTCCATTACATGACAATCAATATCAGTGCGAAAAAAAACAATACCAATGCGAAAAAACACTACCACTACGAAAAAAATATTACCATTTCACAAAAATACATACCTAGTTTGCCAATTAATCACAATAGCAGCAAAATCAAAAGAAAAAAAATTAAGAGTGAGAGAGTGAGAGTGACCAGATTTTGTGGGTAGACGGGTCCTCGTTGGCTAAATGTGTGTGTGTGAGAGAGAGAGAGAGAGAGAGAGAGAGATGAGCAGGGGTGGGGTCGGAGGCGGTGGGTTGCTGTGGGGAGGGGAGGAGGGAGAGAGAGACGAGCGGGGGATGGGGATATCAAGTATGGAAAAAATCCAAAACTACCACTGTTTAAATTTTTTTTTACAAAAATACCACCCTCACCAAATAATTTCCAAAAATACCATCGTTTATATAAAACCGCGCCTCTGATGAGCGGTTTTCAATGAAACCGCTCCTCTAGGCTGCGTTTTCCCTTATAACCGCTCCTTGGACGCGCGTTTTTATTTTCCAGAGAAAACCGCTTCTGGGACGCGCGGTTATAGGCTAACCCTACCTCAAAACGCTTTAACAGGGAGCGTTTAAATGTCGGCATTACAAACCGCCTGATAAAGGGGCGGTTTACAATGTCAGGACACAAACTGCTCCCCCGAGGCGCGGTTTGTGCCTGGTCACCCGACACCCGACATGTCGGACATGTCGGCATGCAGGGGTAGGGCTGCATGGCAGACATAAAACCGCTCCCCCCCCCAAGTGGTTTTGCTGCAAAATTTTCCTATAAAAGGTTGTTTCGGAGAACTCAATTCTTCACACTTCCTTCCTCAAATTTCTGCTTTGCACCTTTAAATTATTTATCAGCTGTTAATTCGTAAGTTTGTTTCATAATTACTTTTCATTGTCTTTGTGATTTTATGTTAGTAACTTAATTACTTTTGATTGTCCTTTGTGATGTTATGTTAGTAACTTAATTACTTTTCATTGTCATTTGTGATTTTATGTTAGTAATTTAAATTACTTTTCATTGTCCTTTGTGATGTTATGTTAGTAACTTGTGTTACTTTTCATTGTCATTTGTGATATTATGTTAGTAATTTGAATTACTTTTCATTTTTCTTTGTGTTGTTATGTTAGTAACTTGTGTTACTTTTCATTGCAGATGGCATTCCAAAGGTTCACGCTTGGGTTGAGGTGGAATGGTTACACGGAAGAGACCGAAAAGGGTGTAAGTTACGTCGGTGGCAATTTTCATAAAATGAAGGTCCGTACGAGACCGATGCTTGAAGAGCTCCATCAAATGTGCACTCAGATTACCTGCATGGATGGCACTAGAAGAGTTGATCGAATGGTGTATCGATATCCAAACAGACATGACGGGTCGCTGTGGTATGAGGAATTCCTCCTTACCACTCTGGAGGACGTTGATGCCATGGTCCAATTTTTGACCACCAATACAATGAAGCAAGCGGAGATGTTCGTTTACACCGAGGCCGTTGAAGGCAGTGTAGGTCATTCTGGAGCTGGCCAAACATCTGGTATCCATGGTGGGAGTGTATTATACGAAGATCATCCCCACCAGGATTTCCAAGACTCGAGTTGGAGTCAGGAGGAGTATCATCATGGAACTGGAGGAAGTCATCAATCCTTCCCTTCATATGAAGAAGAAGCTCAACAGGCGGATTACAACCAACAAGCAGGCTACCAGTACCCACCCGAGTACAACTTCTATCAAAGCGGTGTTAGTTACCACAACTACCATTACGGAGCTAGTGAAGGTCAAGGTGCCTTTCATGCTGATAATCAAGATGAAGAAGAGGTCAATCCAAGTCCAGTTAGTGACCCTGAGGTTGAAGAAGAGGAAGGCGAAGTTAGTGCAGACAGCTCCGATCCGCTGGAAGGTGCTGATGATTCCGGTCCAGATTCAGACGCAGATGGTGATGAGGTACCTCACGACCGTGTACCTATTCCATACTACAATCACATTCAAAGTGAAGATTGTTATGTTGATGCCGACATGGACCCGCCAGATGTGCCAGTATGGGGTCCACTAACTGGCTTTTCGAAGGGCCAACAATTTGCAACGAAGAATGAGGTTCGACACGCTATTTCCACTGAAGCAATGAATCGGAGTTTTGAATGGCAGACAACCCATTCCGACACAAAGAGGCTGATGGCTCGATGCAAAAACCACAATGAGGGATGCGCTTCTAGGGTCCGGGCCATCAAGAGCAAGAGAGTCGGTCATTGGGTCATATCCCGTGCGGTGAACACACACACATGTGTGTCATCAATAACATCCCAAGGCCATCGACAGTTGAAATCAAGGGTGGTTGCCGCGGCTATCAAACATCTAAATGAGGAGCAGCCCGACCTGAAGGTGAAAACCATCATCGCCCACATTTCTAGTCGTTATGGTTATATCATTAACTACAAGAAAGCGTGGCATGGGAAACAGAAAGCAATGGATGCCGTGTTTGGTGACTGGGAAGAATCATATGCATTCCTTCCCAAACTGATTTTGGCGTTGGAGGTGTCTAACCCTGGAACCATTTTCTCACCTCGCTACCAAGAGGAAGAAATTCAATTGCCGGTGGCTGGTAACAATCGCCAATTCAAGCGTCTTTTCTGGGCCTTCAAGCCATGTATTGATGGTTTTCCATACTGTGTTCCTGTGATTCAAGTTGATGGAACATTCCTTACCGGCAAGTACAAGGGTACTCTACTGATTGCCAGCGGAGCAGATGCAAATAGATTAGTATATCCATTAGCCTTTGCCATTGTGGAGGGAGAGAATACCTCCAAAGGAGTAGGCGCCTTCCACGCCTCAATCGGTTTGATCTCCGGCACGTGAGGTCGATCCCTCATAGCTTTGTTTTGCCTTCTATGGACCGGCGGAGGCACCGGGTCAACATCAAGCGTCACCGGCGGCGGTCTCACTGGGGGAACTGGAGGGTATCGCCTATGGTCACGTCTGCGCGCTCGCATACAGCCAAGGAGATTGTTCGCTATCCTTCGAATCATCCCCACCTCTCGACCCGCCGCCGAATGATCTGCGGTCCGCGCGAGGTCGTGGATTCGCTCGATGCCATCAACCTAAATCGAACAAAATAACAAAGTTAGCCATTTAAAAAATAATGCACCGCATGACTAAACATGTAAAAAATTAGTTTCTTACCAAAGCTCCATCCGCCGCTCCTTCGGGGGTCATGTAACGAACAGATTGTCTTCGGTAGGTTTCCAGGTATGGGTCATGGTAGCCCATCCGCCCCACATGAGATGCCGTCACAATATCCTGATCTTGCCTAACATTCCAAAACCGGATCAACGACTTATACTCCTCCGGCCAATTAGTAGGTCCTTGTCGACCATCTTTCCCGTGGTACCCCTTCTGACTCTCCGGGACATCCAATGGTATGCATTGCTCACGTCCAAATTGTCGTAGACATCGATCCGGCAAGTGCCACTCCACTATGTGGTGGCAGATTAGTGGAACTCGGGTGCACCATTGACCAGGATGTAACGGGAACTTGTGGACGTGATGCGCTTCAATCCGTTCTAGATACGGATCGAACTTAAGCTACGGAGGTTTAAATAATAAAACCATTAATCAACATAATAATATAAGTTAAAAATAGTTGGGTTTTAATAGCGTATTATGATGCTCACCTCTGCTTCCCATAGGTGATCAAGCCTCCTACGATACTCCTCCAGCTTATGCGCTCCTAGGTTGTCGCATGTTGTTTCACCAAGCCACCTATTAATATGGAAAAGTACACAATGTTAGTACCTTCAAAAAATTTAGTTACAAAAAACTAAATTAGTAAAAAAAAAAGTGAGAACTATGAGTGGGATAGAAGATATTTACCTACAACCATAAGCTTCATGTCGTAGGGGATGGTCGGGTCCCCATTCCTTGTCGGGGTCTACCTTCGGCGCAATCCATGACAAATGCTCCCAAGCCCAAAATTGGACAATGAACATTGCCCCATCAATTTCCTTCACCGCTCTCGCACTAGCATTACATAGGGATCGGTAGAGCTGGGCTAGGCAAGCAGATGCCCAGCTCAAGTTTCCCATATCATCCCAACTACCAAGTATGATCTTCAACCATGAATTGCTGATTAGGTTGTTGGATTTCTTGGGGAAGAAAACTCCTCCGATCATGCCGAGGATGTAGATACGTGCATAAATGTCTTTATCGCGCTCCGAACTTTCCTCCGTGAGGGGAATCCCTCCGAACTCAGGGTTGTGCTTACGCCTGATCTCCGCTGTCAACCACGTGATGGATACTTGACCCTTGGACAATGGTGGATTACCATCCGCATCGTGATCTCCCTTTTCTGGCGGACACAACCCGGTGACCGTCCATATAAAATGTTGCCAACCACTCATATTGGCAACAACTTTAGGTGGTGCCGTAGAGTCCACACAAACAACATCACCATCAATGGGGAGATCGGTAAGGATGGCGATGTCCTTAAGTGTGATGGTGCACTCGCCTTTATGAAAATTGAAGCAGTGTGTCTCCTTTCGCCATCTCTCTACCATCGCCGTGATGAGTTGGCGGTCAACCTTAATTCCATTGAAATGCCTAATCGAATCCAATCTTGCCCTTTTTAGAAAGGGCAAGATGACGTCGTTCCATTCAAGCACATTCGTTGTGCCCTTATAGCGGACTATATGGTATGCATCCTAGAGAAGAATTTAAATTTCACTATAAGTTGATGATTTATACATATATAAATATATTATAAGATACAATTTATATATAAATCAAGGTTGTTGTAGTTGTAGAGAAATACACATTATCTAATAAACATTAATTTTAACATAACTAAAATAATTTTCTAAGATGCAATATTAATTCAATCAAGCGATTTTATAGAAATATACATTATCTAATAAACATTAATATTAACATAACTAAAATAATTTTCTAAGATGCAATATTAATTAAATCAAGAGATTTTATAGAAATATACATGGTCTAATAAACATTAATATTAACATAACTAAAATAATATCCAAATATATTATTTTGTTAATCGTATTGATTATTTTCAATAATTTAAAGCAATACAAGTACACTCGTAAGACTCTTAGGAGAGGTATACATCTCCTTAGAAACACAGTCTTTTTGACAGAAAAAGGGGGGATCCGAGGATCGCTTAGAACCCGATTTTCCCAGGTCATGGGGGGATCATGATGATCGCTTAAGTCCCCATTTCCTTAGACATGCATTTCTTTATAAAGAGTCTAAATAAGTGTTGTATTGTATTGATTTAAATTATTGAAAATAATCAATACGATTAATAATTAAGTAAATTATTGTACAAACAAATAAATTACTTTAACAAAATACAAATTACAAGTGATGATAAATAATATGTACCTTGTGGTCGTTCCAAACGTCTCTTGAACGATGATTTGCTTGATCGTATAAAACTGTCAGATCAATCGGTCCTTGCTCAACATAATATCGTTGATTGAAAATATCAACATCCGGCCCAACCTACGATAGCATAACAATAACACAAATCATTAGTATATAAATTAAATAAATCATTATAACAACAACAACAATTGGGAAAAATGAGTACGTACCGTTTGATAATCATAAAAAAAGGGCCCTCTTCTTGAGCGAAATCGGCCATTCTCTCGGAATCCGGACAGAGGTTCGACGGTTTTTTAGTGAAAACCAAAGAAAAGTTTTTTGGAGGCAGATCGGACTTAGGCCGCAACCAACAAAAAAACGTTTCTAAGGTTTTTGGGTGGGGAGGGGGAGTGGATAGGGAGAAGTTAGAGGTAGGGGTGTTCAAACGGTTTGGTTACCATAGTAACCGTTTTAACCAGTACTATTTGGATAATTTGGTTTGGTTAATTTGGATAATTGGTTTGGTTTGGTTAAAGTTTTTAGCTTGTTTGGTTTATGTGGTTTGATTTGGTTTCATACACTCCTAACAAGTCAAACCAAATTAACCAGTTAAGTAATTAGTCATATATCTAACATATATTATATACACATACTTAATACTTTGCATAACCACTCAAGAGTTAACGTTCATCCCTTTTATACTCATAAAATATAAAGCTCAATATTGCTCATATAGTGTATATTTGTATATGTAAAATGTAGACCACAATATATGGACGCCTAATTTAGATAAATTTCATACATTATGATGGATGAAAACTTGAAAGGAAGGTTATTTCCAGCCTATGATAATTGCTAAGAGACTAAGTCAATTTACACAAACACAACAATTCATTAACCCATACCATTGTCATAAATTTTTGTTAGGTGAATACTTCTATACTAATCATAAGATAATTGTCTTAGTTGCATGTATTTTTGTTAAGGGTCAACTATAACTACGTGTTGATTGTTATGTTTTATTCATTATATAAATTGCGAATTGTTGCATTAACCGGAAAATTTTCATCGTCAATGATAATGTGATTTTATATTGGTTAATCTGGTTAACCAATTAACCAAACCGATTAAACTTTAGTTTGGTTAATTTGGTTATTGTATTAGTTTGGACGGTTTGGTTATGATATTGTATTTCATGGTTAATGGAATTTAGTCTTATTTGGTTTGGTTATAACCATGGTAACCATTTGAACACCCCTAGTTAGAGGGAGAGAGGGGGGAATGAGGTTGGTGTGCAGAAAAGTGAAGGGGGAGGGGGTTTATATAGAGTACAAACCGCGTCCCCGAGGGCCATTTCGTCAATTTTTCCAACGAAAACCGCGCCTCGGAGACGCGGTTTGCTTGTCCCGAACAGTCAAACCGCGCCTCGGGGACGCGGTTTGCTTTTCCCGAACAGTCAAACCGCGCCTCGGGGACGCGGTTTACTTGGCCGACGCGGATCGCCGAGCTGGCACACGTTTTGGCCGTTAGATCGCTCTCCCAGCGAGCGGTTTAATGAACCCCCACGTGGACACGCGGTTTGACAGCCATGCAAGGTCAAACCGCTCCTTGGTGAAGCGTTTTGTGATGAAACCGCGCCTCTAAGGGTGACCAGGTCCTTGACTGTGACGACTTCTCGTGCTTTCTTTCTTCATAAGCGCCACAGATTCCGATCATTCACAAACTACTGAATAGAGACGAGAAGAATTGAAAAAGAGAGGAGAAGAATGGTCGGCGACCCTTAAAGAAGGAAGAGAGACAAGATTGAGAGAGAAGAAATTAAATTAGGATTGGAGACTATGAATTCTTCTGCAATTTGCTTCACTTCTTAATTCTTCCCAAATTTAAACTATATATTAAAAATTCATAATAGTAACCAAACCTACAAAATATGATAATCCAAAGTGTACTCAAAACACAATTAAACAGTTTACAACGTAACATGATAATAAATCGGAAGGGCATGTTTCCGTCGCGATTCAACCTACACCTTCGGGCTTCATCCATCTCAACGCATTCGTAACTTAGAACTAGGGATGGCAAATTACCCACCCATGGGTAATTATACCCAAACCCAAGTAGACCCATTGATAATGGGTTGGGTATGGGTGAAGTGCATATGGATTTGGGGTTTATAGATGGGTATGGGTAATGTATGAATATTGCTTCTATAATCTAAATGGGTATGGGTTGGATATGGATATCCCTTTACTTGAGGGTGTTTTAACTACACATGCAAAAATTGGACCTATTTGTAAAACTTAAAAAGTTTAGGTACCAAAATGTAAGACCAAAAAAATTTAGGTACCAAAACACAATTTTCCATCAATGTTTTGAGGACTTACATGCAAAAAAAATTAAATTTAGGTACTAGATATGCATAACTATTAAGTTTGGGTACCACACTGTAATTTATATTTGGTCATGGGTACAAACCCATATCCATTTGATATAAACCCAACTCAACCCAAAGTAAATAGGTATGAGTACAAACCCATCAAACTCTACCCATATCCATCTATTTGGATTTCATATCCAACCCAATTGAGTTGGATAGTAAGAAACCCATGGGTATGGACAAAGTTGTCATTCCTACTTAGAACACGTAAATGGATCTAGAAATCAAGAACAAACGCCTATGGCAATCCTTTTGTTAAATGTTATAGTACTTGTTTCAAAGGATTGGACATTTATGATCGAATATTTTGAGATATATAGTCAAATTTTGAATTTTCACCGTCGGCAGCCAAAGATTTTTACATAGTAGCTAGCTAGCTGTCTGCAGCCTGATAGAGAGTGCAAGCTCTCAGTCTGTTCGTGTATTTACTATTTTTGGAATACAGAGTACTGTTCAATATTCATCATCATGCATGAATATGGCGGCCCTACGTACGCCCACAACATCAAATATTCACCCACAATAAAACCGATTCATTGACGCCCTGCAGTTTCCCCATTAAGTCTTGCAGATGCCCAGAATACACAGTATAGTAATTAATGATCAGATCAGATCAGGAAATTAAATTAATACATCACTGCATGCTACGTACGTATAGATCCTGGGGTATGTACATAGTGAATCTTGATCAGTTACTAATTTTAGTGGTCACTAAATGTGATTTGGGTCAGTCACAAAACTTTGGTTTTCTTAAACTAACATATTCATGAGAGATAATATTGAAATCATGATGAAGATATTTCTGATCGGATGTTATTCCACATCTTTCTTCACTCCCTGCTATAATAGTTAATTTTGAATTTTCACCCTATCGTACGTAGACAAAAATCTTTACACAGCTAGCGGCCTGATATATATATATGATAGTCTGTTTATGTATTTACTGTCTTGGAATTCACGTACGTACGACCCACAGTGCTGAAACTTCCTTTTCATGAGAATCGCCATGTCAAATATTCACTCACAAGAAAATCGAATGCTGGCATGCAGTAACTGCAGCCTCTATCCGTATTTAATGAATTAAATTATTAACTTAAATATGATTTATATATTAATTTATTTTGTATGTTTAATAACTATTGATATACTATTAAATATATTATTATTTTTATACCAAAAAATAATTATTATTAGTTTAAAAAAGAAGTAAATTACTCATATTTTATAAATATCTTATGCGCATACCGCATATTACTAACTATATAATGTTACCGTAATAATTTTGCATGTCTTTGGTGAATGGTATATTTATGAAGATTGGCAGAAGGCAGATATATATTATATATAGCAGGCTGGTTTTTACTATTGCCAGCATTGATTTCTTGGTTTCAATTATTTTGACCCTACCAAAGTTAGACGTGAAACTTATTGCCATACAAATTTTACCGTCTCACAAACATAGTTAGTAACTAAAATACGATACGGGATAGTTACGTATAAAATAACTACAAGCATTTTACTTAATTTCTAAGCTAATGTTACGTTTAATAATCATAAATATATTAAATTAATCATTTTAAATTAAATTAATATGTAAATAATTGTAAAATTAATAATTTAATTCATTAAATATATATATTAAACGTGTTATACTAGTTTTATACACATTTAGTATGAGAGCCATTAAATGAATGGAAAAAAATGAAACGCCTTGACAATAATACGGATACGAAAGTTTTAAATAGATAAAATACATACGTATACATATAGTGTATTAAACGGAGTATTTACTAATTATGCTCACAAATATTTTGTTTGGAAAGGGAAAGAAGAAACGTGGCCGATACCCCCAATATTATTGCTTCAACCATTACTCCCTTAGTCCCTTACATATCCCACCTTCTCCAAACTATCAAAGTGCAGGTCCATATCTTCATCATAAATTCTGTAATGACTAATAATTTTATTGGTGGGAGAATTAATGGAGCCTCCTAAAGCTGTACACCATGATATCTCATTAACCCTACCATGCAAGAACTATATATTTGTTGCCCGCTACTCACCAACACCAAGGCATCATTTCCTATTCCATATTGGCTAAACCAGCAGCTGCTGAAACATGTCCCCACAACTACTACTAACCTTCCTTTCCCTAGTAATCTTCCTATGGCATTCGCTTCTTAGAAACAAGCACTCACCGCTCTACCAATGGCCGTTGCTTGGAATGCTCCCAAGCCTCCTCTTCAACTTATCCACAATCCACGACTTCTTAACTCGAGCTTTGAGGCAAACCGGCGGAACGTTCCTTCTCAAGGGACCCAGTTTCATCAATGCCGACTACCTGGTCACAAGCGATCCCACCAACATCAACCACATCTTCAACAAGAACGCCGCCAACTACGAGAAGGGTCCGGACTTCAAGGCCATAATGGAGGCTGTGGGCGACGGGATCTTCAATGTCGAGGGCGAATCCTGGAAGTTACAGCGCAAGCTCCTCCGTTCCTTGCTGAACAACTCCGAGTTCGAGGCTCACTCCATGCACATCCTCATACAGAAGATGAGGAGCAACCTTATGCCGGTCCTCGACAGAGCAGCAAGTACGAACAACAACGACGAGTTGGTGGACTTGCAGGACGTGTTCAAGAGGTTCATGTTCGACAACATGTGTCTGTTGGTCTTGGGATTCGACCCTCATTACCTCCCCGCCGTGGGGTCCGACGACGGCAAGCTCCCTGATAGTGCATGTGGCAAGGCATTCGAAGTGCTGGAGGAGGTGGCGCTCTGCCGACACATAGTTCCGATGTGTGTATGGAGGCTTCAACAACGACTTCAAATTGGAATGGAGTGGAAGTTCAGTCGAGCTTGGCGCACCCTCGATCAGTTACTATATGGTAGCATCAACAGGAGGAGGCAAGAATTAGCGACAATCGACAATAATGATGTGAATAAAAGAGACAAGTTGGATTTGTTGACACAAATCCTGGTCATGAAAGATGAGGGTGACGGCTGTGGTGACAAAAATATCATCGATAAAACATCCGACAAGTTTCTGAGGGACACTACATTTACCTTACTTATAGCCGGGAGAGACACCATCACTGCCGGCCTTACTTGGTTGATATGGTGTGTGGCAAGCCACCCTTCTGTTGAGAAAAGGATTCAACAAGAGATTGCACAAGTGATGGCAGGGCGAATGTCAAACACGATTGATGGTAAGAGGAAATATTTAAATATCTACATAGACACATTTTTCCCCGTCTTCTAGATATGTACTAAATGATATAAGTTAATTTGTGACAAACCAGGAAAAGAAAGAGGAGGATTCTTGAGAAACGACGAGTTGAACAATGTTGTTTATCTTCATGCAACAGTCTGCGAGACACTGAGGTTGTACCCACCGGTTCCATTCGAGCACAAATGCGCTGTGGAGGCAGATGTCCTTCCAAGCGGGCACATAGTACGTAAAGAAGAGAGGATATTATTCTCCATATACACCATGGCCAGGATGGAAGAAATATGGGGAGAGGACTGCATGGAGTTCAAACCAGAGAGGTGGATTTCTGAGAAAGGGACGATGCTACATGTCCCGTCGTCCAAGTTCATGACCTTCTTGACTGGGGCAAGGACCTGTTTGGGGAAGAATATGTCATTCACACAAATCAAGTCCCTGGCTAGTGCTCTCCTTTGGAACTACAAGTTTGAACTCATAGATGACGGTTCCTCCGGTAGGCCGGCGGTTAGCATGATGTTGTTCATGAAAGATGGACTCAAGATGAGAGTCTCCAAGAGAGACCATTCAGAATAATGTTCATGTTGCTTTCTTGATGCATGATTGTTTGTTGTTGTAGCCTAGTGGAAGTGCTTGTTCAATTTGTCATTATGTCTAGGGTTTGCATTAATGAGTCGTGTGAGGGCTTCTTCTGTGTTATTATTTTTGTTTTCCACGTGCTTTGTTAATTGTTATCCAACTCTATGGGATGAACTAGCTATATATGTGCTCTATTGGTATGCTATTCTTGTGAGTAGAGTTATTGCACTCTTTGATTGTCATCATGGGATATTTAGGAACTAAATTTTCAATTGGTATCACATATATATCACCATATGATATATTCACATAGATGACTGTTTGAGGAGAAGTTGATTTTCCAGCACGTAAGCTGAGATGATTATTGAAGCATGTATTGAGGTAATTATTGTGCAAGAGTAGATCATTAATTAAAGTAGTGCCGCTAGCTATCTTTGTGTAATGGGGAAGGAAAGCCTTTGCTGCTTTGTGAGAGAGCAAGGAGCTTCTTCGATGTAGCTGGCTAGCTGCTGCTCTATCCACTTTGATTCTTTAAGGGTCGGGTCGTTTGCTTAAATAGTGTTTGCTGACCAAAGCGATTTTGTTCAACACCTAACTCTAATGCCCTTTACTTCATTAATGTCTGGATTTTTAATCCACCACATGATTTCTGTATCTGTACTTGTTTTGTGCATTCATATATGATATTGGAATTAAAAACCTCACAAAACCTTACGATGGTTTAATTGTTGGAAGTGGTCAAGCAACTCATTTTCAGTATTGAATATCAATCCATCAAAACATATTATTTTATGAATCTTTAGTAGCATCTTATCAAATGATGTAAAAATTGTATCGCATTCTTGTCAAAGTTTCACCCATCTATTCCTAGTGACCCCAGAGTAGGGGTGTCCATTCGGGTTCGGTTTTTCGGGTTTACCCGAAACCGACCCGATTATATACATTTTCGGGTTTTCGGGTTCGGGTTCGTTTCGGGTTTTGGGTTTTCGGTTTTGGGTTCGGTTTTGCTTATCAGTTTTTCGGGTTTCGTCTAAAAACCTCCAATGAATAGAACTTAGCTCGTATTCTTAGACGTTCGGGTTTTCGGGTTTCGGTTTTGCTTTAACCGAACCCGAACCCGATAAGGAATTTTTGGTTTTAGTAGTTTTCGGTTTTGGGTTTTCGGGTTTTTTTCGGGTTTCGGTTCGGGTAACCAAACCCGACCCGAACCGACACCCCTACGTATATCTAACAGACTTGCAAAGCTTATTCCTTTTCAAATCCTTTACTTGTTTTGTGATATTGGAATTCCTGTTTTATTATAATTTGCATCAATATCTACGTGTATATTTCTCTCTTTTGGCCTTTCTAAAATCATATTTTCATCTCAAATAAATTTGTAAACTCCAATTTTCAATTATTTAGACTCAAGTATTCCTTCTATTATATTTATCATTAGTTTATGAAGTATTTTTTCTATATGTTATTGTCAAAAAAACATATAAGAATGGATCGCACCGCTCTATTCCGTATCCGCGTCGGTATTAACAAAAACGAACTCCGCTAGTGCGGGGACGGGTATGGGTATCGAGGTACCCGCCCCGCCCCTCTGCCATCAATACGTAGTACGTACAGGCTATATATGACTCAGATTGATGTATTTAAGGAGTACACGATACTTCGGGTACTTCTACTGAAATATCTCATATTTCTATCCAGATCACTAATGGATATACCATTAATGGATAAACCCAAGACAATGATTTCTCAAACCAAAACCCAAATATCTATTTGCTAAAAAATAATAATCGACGATTTTGATTCATCGAACAATGAAATAGATCTAGCTAATAGCTAAATCATTTGATACTCGAGTACACAATGCAAGTTATTGCCGGTTTTTTCTTCACTGGCCAAATGGGATCCTAGAGTAAGCCCCGCTCGATAAACGTCCCTTGGCGAGTCGCGACGCAGTGAGAAGGGTTACAACTTACATGGTGATGAGTTATTGAGTAAGTCACTCTAGTTCGCATGCAAGACCAGACCATCGCTTCCCTCTCCCCTGAAAGATGATAAGGTCATCTGTGACAGACTGACAGTCGACATATATAGCATTCGTCTTAACAAGTACTAGCTAGATGCCCGTGATCATGGTGATTAATTCACATACCCTATATAATCGCATTCATTTTATGACACGTTCACAACTTAAAACTTTATTGGATCTACAAATCAGGAATAAACAGTGGCGAACTTAGAATTATAAAGAGGGGTGTCTCCGATAAAAACTTATAATAAATATAATAATTAAATAAAAATAAAAATTCAATAGAAATTATTGGAAGTTCATTTCTAAGTTGACAACGTCATGTTTACTACGAATTATAACGATTTTTCATATCCTGAATTTTTTTTTAAAATACATTTATCGCTTATGTTGCAAGTCAAACATTTTTCGATATTCACAACTACATAATCATTCATAAATTATTCACTCAACCAAAGAGAATCTACCCACATCTAAAATCAAAGTTAAAATAAATTAGTTTATAATCAAATATAGTAAACCACGATCTACCAATTGGCATTTTAGACAAAACAAAGTATGCGTAAACTAATATCATTAGCATTTTTTCTCTAGTTCTAACAAATTAACCAAAATCAAACCACAATCTCCCATAAATCTACGCAATTCACCTATTAACCACAAATTGACAAGTTAAATTGGGTTGTGGGTTACTTAGAACAAGCATGCTAATTTGATTTTACTTATTATTGTTAATTACTAATTATGATGAATAACTTTATAATATTAAAAATATTGTTGTATAATGAAGGTGTGTCACTTATAATTATTGCGGTGTCGGAAGTCTCAAATTAAAATTTTTTGTACCGGAAAAATGGAGGTCTTTCACAAAATTTTTGGGCGGAGGGGGGTCGGACGACACCCCTCCCCTAGCCCTAGGTCCGCCCCTGGGAACAGATACATATTACAATCATTTCGTTACATGTTGTGGTACTTGTGATCCCATGAATATATCAAAGATATTTCTGATTGGATGTTTCGATATATGAACATCTAACGTACAAGAACTTGGTCTAGTGATCATACTAGTATTAGTCTTGAATCTAGAGATCATAGTTGTAAGTCTTTTAAATTAAAAACCAAAATATACATATATGAACATCTTCCTAGCTATCCTACAACAGTATCACGACTAGGTACTCTTGCAGCTGTTATTCCACATCTTCTTTCACTCCTGATAGAGTGCAAGTTCTCTGTCTGTTTGTGTGTTTATTGTTTTGGTATTCAATATCAATCATGCATATGCATATGGCCCTACACAGTACTGAAACTTCCTTCTAATGAAAATATATATATATATATATATATAGCCATCTCAAATATTCACTCACAAGAAAACCCAACGCTGGCCTGCAGTAGTAATTCAGTTTCCCGTTAGTAATCGGCAGCTAACTGGGCTCTACCTCCTGCAGGAGCCTGCAGCATTGAAGTTAATTTAATACGATCTTATATTGTGGCCGAAAGACCTTAATTATCGAAAAGACCGGTTGTTAATATGTGTGTTCGTTTTCCAAAATTTAACAAACGAACAAGTTCGTTAACTATCGTTCGCAACTTGTTAATATACTAGTGACGTACCATAGAATACTTCGATGAATAAATTTGTCGACATGCATTTCAATGAGGTAAATATATCAATAACTGAAATCAATATATAAGAGCTAGATTATCATTGCCATTCGTTCATTCATTCACATGATCACATATATATCAACATTGTAGTATCATACGAATTTTGCATGTCTTTGCTATAATATTTATGAAGATTGGCAGTAGGCAGACAGCAGCTGGTTGGTTTTACTATTGCCTGCCAGCATTGATTTCTTGGTTTCAATATTTTGACCCTACCAAAATTATAAAACTGAAACTTATTGCCATAAATTTTTTACCCTATCACAGATATTCCTTGTGGAAATGGAAAGAAGAGAGACGTATAGATAGGGATCCCCATGCATTATTGCTTCAACCATTACCCCGTATCCACCCTTCTCCAACCTATTTCAGTACACTAGTACAGTTTCATCTTCATAAATTCTGCCATGGTTTTAATAATTTTGCTGTTGGGAGAATGGAGGTTCGTCTAACATAACTGCACACCATGGTATATCATTCACTACCATGCAAGAACTACTATTTATTCCACGCTAGTCTCCAAACACCAACACATCGTCATCATTACTATTACACAGGCAAAACCCTAGCTAGCTAAACGAGATTGCTGCCGAAACATGTCCACACAACTACTACTAACCTTCCTTTCCCTAGTCATCTTCCTATGGCATTCGCTTCTTAGAAACAAGCACTCGCCGGTCTACCAATGGCCATTCCTGGGGATGCTCCCTGGCCTCCTCTTGAGCTTATCCAACTACACACTCCACGACTTCTACATCAGAGCCTTGAGGCGAACCGGGGGAACGTTCCTTCTCAGGGGACCCAGTTTCGTCAAAGCCGACTTCATGGTCATGAGTGATCCCGCCAACATCAACCACATCTTCAACAAGAACGCGGCCAACTACGACAAGGGCCGGGTTTTCAAGGCCATAATGGAGCCTCTAGGCGACGGGATCTTCAATGTCGATGGCGACTCGTGGAAGTTCCAGAGGAGGCTCCTTCATTCTTTGCTGAAAAACTCCGAGTTCGAGGGTCATGCCGTGCAGACCCTCGTAGAGAAGATGAGGAGCACCCTTTTGCCGGTCCTCGACCGGAACGAGGTGGTGGACCTACAGGACGTGTTCAAGAGGTTCATGTTTGACAACATGTGCCTGTTGGTTGTGGGATTCGATCCCCAATACCTCCCCGTTGAGTCCGAGGGCGGCAGGCTCCCTGAGAATGCGTGTGGCGAGGCGTTCGACGAGCTGGAGGAGGTGGCGGTCTACCGATTCATAGTTCCGATGTGCGTGTGGAGGCTTCAACACCGACTCAAGATCGGAATGGAGTGGAAGTGCATTCAAGCTTGGC